TTATCTTCAATCCAAAAAATTCTCTAATTTTTAATATGGTTACTTCCCTAAACCACATGGTTTTAGTGTTATTGATTTCTAATTTAATTCCAGTGTGATTCTAAAGTATAATCTATGATTTACAAAACAAAGCTTAATATATCTAGCAAGCATGAAAATGAAACAAATTGTCCAATAGACTTCTTTGTATTATTATAAAGACAAGCTGATATGTGGCAAAGCTATTCCAGAACCTTCAAAAGCTGATCTCTCAGCAAATGTTAAGTACCCATTAAGACAATACAGCAATAAAATCTTAGCAAATATATCAGCCCATAAACAATTAAGATAGGAAGTCACAAACAACTCTCTACTGTTAGGGACTGAATTTTTGACATGTACATCAAAGCAAAGCAATAAAAAGGAAAACTTTTCAGTTAATGTGCTGACACGGTTGGATCTCTGTGTGGAAAGATAAAAACAGAGAACTAGGTCGTCTTACCATTTTAAAAATGAAAGTATTAATATAAAGATGATAGAGTTAAATGCAAGATTAAAATAAGCTTTTGAACATGTAAGAAAACATCATGTGTTAGAAATAAGCAAATATTTCTTAGAAGATGAAAGCAAAGAACAATTCTCAATTTGATAAATTGTGTCTAATCAAAAGGAAAATTTCATGGCTACCAAAAATTCGACTAAGTTCAGGACAGACTGAGAAAGAGCACACACAGACACACAGAGCAATACATTTGTAATAATTGACTCTTACAACTCAATTAACAAAAGGAATCATCCCATAAAAATGGTAAAGAAACTAAATCGATACATCTAAATATCAGTGATAGAATCTAGGTAGATGTATCCAGGTTATTCGCTGTTTTTCAAACTAAACCTGCTCATAAGGCTGACTTGGCTATGGCCCATATTCTCAGTACTCCCATAGAGGACTTCTAAGAAAAGCCTCCATGAGTCTAAAACATCCTGGGTCAGACAATCAGACGTGTTAAATTTGAAGACTCCTTTAGCAGTATACCTGTATATGGATTTCTTCTGTGATGAATAACTTTTAGGTGATTAATGTTTCTCTGTGTATCTGAAGATCCACAGTATTTTTTTTTAAAAAAAACAGTATCTTTCAAGTTCAGCAAGAAGGAACTTCCCTAAAACATTGTTTTCCTACACATAAAAGTTCTGAAACAACCTTGGGGCTTCTACTGATAAATTGATTCTGTAAGAAATTCTTCGTTCTTAGTAAACCAGTGACCAAGTGGCATGATTCTCAGCAAATTTACTTTCCTCACATAGCAACAGAATGCTAACTGAAAGAGAAGTTTAATAATGAAATGATTTAAGCAAAGACAGTATTCATAGTAGTTCTTCAGAAAATGAAGCTGCATTAGGTATAAACCTAGTCCTTACACAGTCCATCTTCAAAGTGGCTTTCTACTGCTTGGGGAACTTACATTTTCAGCATCAATGAAAAAGAAATCTGCCATGCTCTACTGCACACTAGAGTAACAGATGTAAAAAGAAAAAGATTCTGGTCCTACTGCCAGGGACCCCACAAACAGACCAAGCTACACAACCGTCTCCCATATGCAGAGGGCCTAGCTTGGTCACAGCTGTTGATCTGGAGTTCATGAGTTCTCAAGAGCTTGGTTCAGTTGTCTCTGTAGATTTCACCTTCATGATCTTGACCTCCCTTGCTCATTTATCTCCTCCTCCCTCTCTTCATCTGGATTCCCATAGCTCGGCCTGGTGCGTGGCTATGGATCCCTGCATCTGGTTCTGTCAATTATTGGATGAAGGAGCCCAATCCCTTTGAGGGGATGCCTTGCTCAGCCTTAATGGGGGTGGGGTAGAGGGAGCTTGGTCCTGCCTCAATTTAATGAGTCAGGTTTTGCTGTCTCCCCATGGAAGACCTTACCCTTTGGGAGGAGTAGATGGGAGGTGGACTAAGGGGAAGCAAGTGGTAGGAGGGATGGGAAGGAGAACTGTGATTGAAATGTAAAATGAAATTAAAATAAACAAATAATAAAATTGGAGACTATCTCCATAATAAAATGGTTATGAGAAACCTCATATTGCTCAGAGCTAGAACAGTTTAAGAAAAATAAAGAAAAACACTAAGTTTTTAAACTGTCAGAATGGTTTAGATTTGGCCCCAACCTTAGAGGACACCTAGCCAAAACAATTAACCCAGTGGAAACTCAAAGCAAAATACATAAGTATTAATACTTATCAAGACAGAAGAAAATAAAATGTTAGTATTAATAAGTACTTCTATAGCTCAAGCACATAGCTCCAAAGCAGGCCACAAGTAACAGCATTTAAGGAGATTAAAATTGTACAGACAAACAGCAACAAAGAACAGATAAGCACTCTGCAAAAGCAAAAAGAGCAGGGATTTTTCTTAAAATAACACCCAGAAAACACTTGCCTATTATGATTTTAATAGCCCCGAGTGACTAAACATTAACTGTGTCTATCTGATAAAATATGCTTTGCACACATCACAGAATGTAAATTCTTAAAACAAAACAGAGAGGTTGAATACCTCTCTATAGCTGAAAAGAACAAGAAAAAATTTAAATCACACTAACAATACCACATCCAAATAGTAGTAAAGGAAAAGAATAGACTCTCCCTTATTACATTATATGAAATTATTACAATCTAATGTCAAACTCAGAAAAATTCAATATTAAAAGAGAACATATATATCTCATTCATAATAATAAATCTAAAATAACTGAATGAAATATTTCTAGGTTGAACATAAATAAAAGTATGTTTTACAAGCACGTGAAAATTTTAATACTAGAAAAAGTCTAATAGCTTACTAAAGATTGAAAGAAGGAAATTATATGATCATTTCCAAAATACACAGAGTATTAAGTGCTCAATAAAATCCTACAATTTGTGCTAAAAATTGTCAGTAAGGCAGAAATGGAGGTGAAGTCTCCTACCCTTTACACGGTCTACTAGAAACCTATGGTCGTGCTCAAGGGTAAAGCGTTACCATTCTCCGTAAAACCATTAGTACTGCAGAGATGTCTGCTTCCTCCATTTCAATATTTGCTGGAGGAATCCATATGCTTTTCAACAAAGAACTGTCCAAGAATAGCCAAGGAACTGCTTAACAAAAAGCAGCAGCGGATGAGAGGGCTGGTGGGCTTCATTTACTAGACATCATAATACAAAGTGAGAAGACTGTCTATGTGACAGCAGCGTGAAAAATTTGGAAAAGGACCCACACACCAACCGAAGCCTGGCATACTGTACAGATACACCACAGATCTTCAGCAGGAAGACACCAGAAACTTAAAAACTTAAACATACTACCATCTGCAACATTCTAAATAACTTAGATTTCATTAATAATAAATATAAAAATGAATATATCTAAGTTTTAAAAATAAAATATAAGGAAATGTGTTAATAATCTCAGGGTTAGGAAAAATTTCTTAAGAAAGCACATATTATGAATAATTAAACATGAAGAAAATATTTACATATTAATATTAAGCAGCCTGGACACCAAAACATACCACAAATAACTAAAATAAAACACCCTAAATCAAGAAAACTATCTCCAACATGCATATCTAACAAATAATGTTCAGAATAGTGTATAAAGAGTGCTCATAACCAATTATCAAAAGACAACCACAAGTTAGGACTGCTCTTCTGGCTACTCTGCATTTAAGGAGGACTGGAAACTTTAGGCCTGCCTTAGCTACAGGGTGAGTTCAAGGCCACATTGGAAAAAAGTGCTACACCATCTAAAGAATGAAACCAGAAGAACAAACATGGTAAGAGACGCAGTTCAACGGTAGAGCATATGGCTAGCATGTGCAGCCCTAGCTTCAAATCTCAGGACAAGGGAAAAGAGCATATAAAACAACTAAAAGAAAAGCCTAACATCTTTGCTAAATAGGGAATTGGAAACTCAAAATATAACGAGATACTCAAGCACTGTCAGGGCAAACATGTGGCAACAGGGATTCTTGTGCCCTGTTAAACAAAATCCTAGATTGTCTACAAGTATTTTGGGAAACATTTAGCATTTCTAAAGCCAAACATATACATATTCTATGGCCTAGAAATTCCACACCTAGAAACAGAGCTTTATAAACACATACATACAAAGATATGCATAAGAATTACTAAAATCTTCAAAATTAAGACTGAAATGTGTGATTAAAAGACACAACTTCTAAATTGGCTGTGATGGCACAGCACATAGCTGTAATCCCAGACTTTGGTAGGTGAGGCAGGAGGATTGCCATAGATTTAAGGCCAGCCAGAGCTACAAGGCAAGACCCTGTCTCAATAAATAAGAGACAAAGCAAAAGCGCAAAACTGCTAAAATTAATCTTCATAGAAACAATACATTTTTCACAGACATTATCATTTAGTTACTAAATTTACTAATAAATATTTATTGTCCTCTTGGAATTGGGATAAAACACACCAGACAGATCAGTTTTAGATGAAGAATGAACAGTTTGGGGTTTATTTTGTTTGTAATACTGACAAGCATATGTACTTTAATCACAAAAGATCGTATCAAGTATTTATAAAAATCTTTTCTGGAGATAGCTTCTATTTAATAAGGATCAAAAGAGCATAAAACTTTATCCTTATCATCCGTGAATGAAATAAATTGTGTTTTAATAGCTTAATCGGAAAACACAAAGAAGAAAACAGTAATATGAAAAGAGTCTGGTGTCCTGTGGTCTTCCTTAATAACAACCCACTTTTAAGAGCCTATAATCTACTCAACAGAAAGCCTTCTATCAAAGACCTTAATCAGATTCTGAGAAAACTCCACACAAAATAAACAACAGGTCACTAAAACCCAAACAATCAGGCATTAGCAGCTTTACAAAAGGCTAGGACCTATGCGATGAGTCATTTCTAAAATGATGAAAAGATAAGTCCTTCAAGTGTTTTCTATTCAAACAGAAAACATATAAAGGTAGGGAACCATTTAGCCACTGGCAGAGTGCGAAATCTTTCATTTTACACATTCTTGTTTGACTTTATGCAAGCATCAAACTAAGGATGGCAAAAATGAGTCTCTCTTCCTACATATTAATGCTGACTTTTTCTTTGTTTTCTCAAGGTATTTTACTTTCAGCTTCCAAGTCCATAAGAAACTTAGAAGACGACATGGTATTTAATACTTTTAGGATGGGAAAAGCCTTTCAGAAGGAAGATACTGCAGAAAGATCAGTTGCTGCTCCTTCTCTGGAACAATATAAAAATGATGACAGTGGTTTCATGAATGACGACGAAAACAAAAATTCAAAGGTAAGTACATGTAGTCTGGCTTTTATTACAATAGTAATGGAAATGACTTTTATAATTATAAAATTATAAAAGTAAACTTGGTTTTTATAAATGGGAATAAATACAGAGTCACAGTGTACATTAAGGTAACTAGTATAATTTCATAAATGCCAGGTACTGGTCCATCCTATCAAAAACCTTTGTTTCTTGTATCTAAGATATTTTAGAAGTGAAAAGCAGTGTAGAGCATCTTAGACTTTATCAGCAAGAATGTTGTGCCAATGTATTTTAGCTCTGTCCTGAAGAAGACAGCTGGAATACAAACCAACCTTCTCTTCACAGAACACAGGCTCCAAACAGAATCTCATAAATCATGGTCTGCCACTGAATCTGGCTCTAAAGCCTTACCTCGCTCTGAAAGGATCAGTAGCTTTTCCAGCTGAGAATGGAGCTCAGAATACTGAGTCAACACAAGAAAAGAGAGAAATTGGGGATGAAGAAAACTCAGCTAAGTTTCCTATAGGAAGGAGAGATTTTGACAGTGAGTAGCTTTTACAAATTCAATTCCTACATTTTAATTCTATAAAAAAAAAAAAAGCTCTGAGCTTAACTGATTTGGATCTGACCATAACAAAATTGAGTAAGACCATAGTTCACATCTACCAGACAGCAGGTGACCCTGTCAAAATGGGGAATTTTTAAAAGTCAGTAATTGTCTGATTTATTCAGAAGTCATTATGAATAATGGGTCCACAATTTTTCTTAATCGTGTGTCGTAATTGTAGTTGTTGTTATCTTTCAGTGCTCAGGTGCATGCTGGGAAGAGTCTACCGACCCTGCTGGCAAGTCTGATACCTGCTGGTCCACACCATCCTTTCAGAAGAAAACAATTCATTGCAAATGGAGAGAAAAGCCCTTACTGTTGACATGACTTGTGTATTGTCCTAAATGTCTGCTTTAAAATGGCTAAGATACATAATAATCTAAATGATATGCTTTGGCTTGTGCATTAAACTTCATAAAGATTCTGCATAATTCTGACTTGCTGGTGTTTTTGAACAGTGGTTAACATGTGCGCCTCACATCAAAATAATAAAGCATCAGAGTTTACATCTTGATATTTAAAAGTTAGCTCATGGATTTGGTGTATGGTCTTATATACCTAAATCTAACGCATACAGATGACAAAATCACAGCCTAAAAAACTGAGTTAATTTGGTCTGGCCAGGAATCAATTTGTCCTTGGCAGTACACCTACTGCCTTTTGCTCCTCGTGCCAGTTTGCCGCCAGCTCTACTGTCTGAGTCATTGGATACTTTAGGGAACTTAACATTTTTGTGTTGGTATAGTTCATTTCCATTCTCACAGTGAATATTGTCACTGTCCAAATCCACCTGTTTCCTTTTGGATATTTTATTTTCTGTAGATTTTCTTGGTATTTTGTCATCTTTACTTCTATCCAGATGCACATTTTCAGAATTTGCTTCAATTCTTGCTCTTCTAACAGAGGAACATGCACCTTCTGTTATCAAGAATGACAAGGGGAAAGGAACCATATAATTTAGTATTATAAATCATGAGACATAAAATAATCATTAAAATGGCTAAAATATTAAAGACATTATTTATAATATAATAATCCCACCCAATTTCTTTTTACTATTCCATCTTTTATCCCAAGCAACAAATATCTATGGAAAAATACAACAGGTAAATACTAAGAATTATTTTTTAAACCTATTTAGTTATTTAGATTAAATAATACCCTATTCATAAATATAGAGTTAGATTCAATTTCTTAAACAAATCCAGGGCTTAAACAACAAGTCTTTACATTTCTTAGTACTTTGCAAAAATAATTGGTTGACTAATTATTCAAACAAGGATAATTACCAGAAACATCATTTTCCAAGTGAAGAGCATGCAATGGCTTTGATGATAATTTAACATTCCATTTATTCTTGCTCATCATGTAGTCATCTTTATAAGTACAAGCAAACTGTGACCTAATTAAGGTCTGCCTCATCTGATAACACAAAGAAAACATGCAATTATATTTTGTTATATACACACTCCCTAGTAATTGACAAGTAATATAAATATAAAGACTGTTCTTACGAATCCCATCACTCACTGGAAACTTTTATCTATATTTAGTTCCAGTTTCAAACTCACTTATTACTATGGCTAGCCTCTTAGTTCTTTTTAGCAACATCTATCTTAATCTATATATTTTTATAACAATTCTAAAATTCAATTTTAAACTCTTTAGAGTTTTTGCAACACATTCCTTTGGGCTGTGCTCGAGTGTTATGATAACTGAATATATACATACAATCATAAAAATGGGAGTTCTATATCATACAAAAGAAAAAGGAGCACAACATTCTGAAAGAAAAAGTAGTGTGTGTGATTAATGAAATTGATGGAAGGAGAAATACTAAGGCAAAAATGGGAATTGAGAAGTTAAAAGAAACAGAAATAGCTAATTTTTAGCAAAAGGAGCACAAACAACATGGGAAGACATTATTTCTTGGTTAAAACAAATATTTGGGAAAACTAGAGTTTTTAACTATATCATTCAATGGAAAGACTCAATGAAGCTTTTTAATGGTCAAAATTTCAAAACATATATTTGCATTTAACCTCTGAGATAAAAACTGAAAGCCCAACTTTCTCATAAACAGAAGAAACTCAGACAGATAAAGTTAATTCTAAGCCGGTATGGTGACATACAACTGTCGTCCTAACACTCGAGGCTACAGGAGAAGGATCCAAAGTTGAAGGTCGGCCTGGATTACATACTAAGACACTAGAGGGCAAGGGGGAGGCAAGAAGGAAAGATGGAAAGTTAATCTATGAAATAGGACAGAAAAACAAACAGTTTGGAAATGCATCCTGCAAATATGAAACTGCTGAGCTATTATAGGAGTAGGAATACATTTCAGAACATTTAATCTACACATATAATGTGAATATATTATCAATTATACTTGGCCCATAACCATTAAGTATTATGGGGGGATTTCTCCAAATCATTAGAAGCTAGCTCATATTCTTTTAATACTTCAAAATTATGCTAATATGTTGGATATTAGTAAGAGTGTTTATTGATTAAAATAATTATATATTATACTCAATAATTACATTTTGTTATATAATCATGGGCCAGTGTTCTAATTCACTCAGATGTCTGCAAAGATGATAGCAATAAATCCACTGGCCATAGTTTAAAAGACATGAGAATGGCCTCCTTTACTGCTGCTTCATAAAAACCTATTTCATTTAGAATGATAACTTAGCTTTAAAACTAATGAAAACCATTCCCATTTTAGTAAAAATCGTGTTCCATATTTCTCAGTGAAGAACTAGACATTTGGAGCTTTTCAATAGCAAAAGTGTAAAATTGTACAAGACTGGAAAGTTGTAGTTTACAAAAAGTGGAGAAGAGTAGGCAGCTGACCTCGACAAGCACCGCCATTCACTAGGTTCTGTGAGTTCCCAAAAATACAACTTTATTGTATCATTTCCCACAAGCCTTCCCAAAACTCAAAATTATAAACTTGTTTATGAAGGTATGAAGAGAGCCAAATGTGATGCTGTAGGAGACTGAGGCAGTATAAAGTTCTAGTACAGCCTGGGCTACACAGTGATACCATCTCATTCCCTTCCTCAGACAAATGAGTTATAAAAAGTCTGAAGACCATCTAGGCCAAGATTGGTATAGGTCATTCTCTTAACAACCAGAAAGTAGTGGCCCCTACAAGTCACTTCTGTCCATTACAAAACCTTCAGTGCAGAGTGGTGGTGGCACACGCCTTTAATCCCAGCACTGGGGAGGCAGAGGTAGGCGGAACTCTGTGAGTTTGAGGCCAGCATGGTCTACAGAGTGAGTACCAGGACCACCTATTACACAGAGAAACCCTGTCTCCAAAAAAAATAAAAAAGAAGAAGGAAAGAAAAAAAGAAAAACGGAAGAAAAGAAAACCTTCTGCACAATCTATAGGATACTCCAATAAAAAGGCAATAATTATGTTGTCTAGGATAGTATGTTTTCCTCAATTTCATGTTTAGCCAAAACATAAATTTTCTTATACAATTATTATTTTATTTACTTTTAATATACAATCTAAGAAAAACCTGTTTCCCATTACATGCAGTCAAGAACTAGTATAACCATTTCTCCTGCTAGAGTTCCTATTCAGGCACATGCACAGAGGAATTCCAAAGTCCTCAGTGGTAAGTCAAATTCAGAAAACTACAGTTATAAGACAGCATGTTCTTATATCAAGAAGGTCAGATATAGGTGAAAAAAATGATTAACCATGAAACACACATCAAAATACAAAAAAACATGTTCTATGTGATCTTGGAATGGTTGTGTCTAAAATAGCAAAGAGTAGTTACATTGAGGGGTTTTCTACCTGTATCCTTGTTTAAGACACAATCTTACCATACAGCCCAGACTAGCCTCAAACTTGAGGTCCTCCTTGTCTAGACACTAGAGTATAGGGCTGCCTCTGGATATGCCCCAGGGTACCCAACTCAGATATTTTTTTCTGTTTGTGAAGTCTTATATATGAATTTTCTTTACTCTCTTTCTATGCAAAAATATTTTAAAATGAAGTGCCACTTATTGAGTTCTTATACTACATGATAGGAAGAGAGGAATCAATAGATAACCAGAAAGGCTTCTACAATCACAAAGTGATTTTACTTATGAAATCTTTTGTTGACACAAGTTGGAAGAAATTACAAAAACTGAAAACTTCCAGACTCTAACCATATTTTTAAAAAAAGGAAAAAATGGATGCAGAAAAATAAAGTCCTACATTTAGATTAAGGTATACATGCACAAGATGAAGATAAGTGAGCTATAGGGCAACATAGGAAATCACAGGCCTTTGGGTTTTAATTAATCATGAATCTGACTGAAGTCAACAGGATGATGTCTAACAAAACATGCAAAGAAAGACAAGATAACATAATGGGGAAAGACCTGACTCCTCACATTAGCTCCGCTTCCTTTTAATTAGATAATATTTTAAATTACTTTTATATTTAGTGAGAGAGAGAGAGAGAGAGAGAGAGAGAGAGAGAGAGAGAGAGAGAGAGAGAGAGAGAGAGAGAGAGAGTGTGTGTGTGTGTGTGTACAGGTGTGCACGGTACTTGTGGAGGTCAGAGGGCAACTTGAGGCAGTCTGTTTTCTCCTTCTACCATGTGGGTCCCAAGGATGAAACTCAGGTTGTTAGGTTCAGTGACAAGTACCTTTATCCACTGAGCTATCCTGCCAGACCCTTATCAACTAGATAATTTAAAAAAATTATCAGCTTCTAACATATCCACACCTAGGTGTAATATTCACCTCACAGACTTATTAGAAGTAGAAAAATATAGACATTTTTGGGCATGGTGTACACCTTTAATCCCAGTACTCAGAAGGCAAAAAGCAGGTAGATCTTGTGAGTTCAAGGCCAGCCTAGTCTACATAGCAAGTTCTAGACCAACCAGGGCCAGATAGTGGCACTGTCTCAAAAATAAATAAATAAATAAATAAATAAATAAATAAATAAATAAATAAAAAGAATACCGTGTGTGTGTGTGTGTGTGTGTGTGTGTGTGTGTGTGTGTGGTACAGATTATGAATATACCCCATATGTGTATACATGGAGACATATATATGATATATATATATATGTACATTCTGGAGATCTAATATAGATGCTGGATAGCTACTATAACACAAATGAAGTGGGGTATACCTATAAAGTAAATTCTGCTGGATCAGATTTCTCAGGTCTAGACCAATTCTAAAGTGATTCTAGAATGTAGCTCAGCATCTTCATTTAATTATTAAAACAGTGCAAGCTCATTGCCTTGTATTTGTAACTTGAAAGAGAATGGTTTTCCTTTGTTCATAAAAGTTGAATTTTTCTGCACAAGATTAGTGGTCACATAGAATTGAGATTACTTCCTGTTGTAAATCTTCCAAAGCTCTCTATGTATTTGATTTGGAATCACAAATAAGCAAAAAC